ACACAGGTGTAACAGCATTAATCGAAGGAAATAGACATTGTGGAATCAAGGAGGAATCTGTTTTCCCTGTTTGAGGCACAATTGGAAATGGCTTCAAATTGGGGTTTGTTTTTGTTTGTTTTTGCCTTCGTTTAGATCAAGTTCAGAAACTGGGTTGATGAACTTGAGGAGTTTTTTTTTTTTTTTTCCTTCTTTCTTTCACAAGAATCAAACCTGGGTGTTTCAAGCACAGATGAAATGTAGCCATTTCCCCTCTTTGATTTAATTATTTAGATTTTCCACGTTTTGGTACACCAACTATCTAGTGCTTCATTAGTGCTGGCGAATAAGTAGGGATATGCAATGTTCCCTCTCTCTGCTATTAGTGATGCTTAGGGAGCAGCCATAATAGCACTGCAGCACTCACAATAGCTGGTGTACAGGTTCACTGAGTGCATCCCCATTCCTTAAGTGTTCCTTGTTTATATTTTCTGGGGATTATTTTACTTTACTCTTATTTTTCTTTCTTTCATTTTTTTTTGCTATACTTTTTATTTCGACTGAGTTTGACTGAGTTGTCTATATGGTAAATGCCTGAGATAGCTATAGTGCCCCCTACTGACCATATGTGCAATATAGTAATACCCTTTCAAAAAATGACTTTGAATCAAGTTCTTTACTGACCCCTGCTGACTTCAGAGAAGTACTACAATTCCCATTTAAAATGATGAATTTATTTTGTATTGGATTTACTAAATGTTAATGCTCAAACTGCATTATTAATACAGCATTGGCACTTTTATATTCTATAAATTTAAATAATATAAATTTGGTGACTCTGTTTTTCATTTCCCCTTAATTTGTTCCTTGTTGTGAGTACTGAGACCCTAAGTTACCACACCCAGTGACAATGGGAGTTCTCATTCCCCACAATTAGATATTTTTGGAATAAGAAATTTGGATATTACTACAGCTACTTTTATTTATATGAAGTTTTAACAAACTCATTAAAGTAAGGAATTTTCCTGTATTATTTCAGTAGGTGACCCAATCATGATTAACAATTAATACTAAGTTTGCACACACATTTATTAAGCATGTAATAAAGTTACGTTTTAAAAGTTACACATATTGCTTTCTTTTTGAGTTATTTATCTAATTAATAAACGAGCTCCTCGCAGCGAAGTCCCTGATACCATTGCTTTGGAAACAGTCGGGAGCACCCACCTTCCAACAATGGGTGGAGGAGATATACTCCATGGAAGCACTGACAGCGGACCTATGGAGCCACTCAGACAGATGTATCCAGACGTGGACGCCCTGGCTACTCTATGTTGCCAAGTTGAGTGCAGAAATGCAGGGAGGCCTACGGGGAGGTCCCACGCATGCAAACCACTGCAGCGTTCCTAGCGCTGGCACACAACAGGGAACCCTCAAAGCGCTGTGCCGCAACCTTCTCTTGATGAGCTAGAAGACCGCAAATACACCAGGGACACCCAGGAGGTTTTTCTTCCTCTTTTCTCTCCCCTCTACCACTCCTACCCCCACCAATTACCCTACTTGCCTCTATATCAGTTTAACACTGTTAATTGACTATAGTCTTGTTCTGTTCTAACCACACTGACTAGCACCTGCATCCTCACTGCATAGACGACAACCGAGAAACACTACATGGCTCAAACCAAATAAGGTTCAGACTGTCCCTGACTCAGACTGGCACCCTGCACATTGGAGAAAAATAATGCCACACCAATGCACTGCATTAACATTGAATTATTGGCATGTGCTATGGGGAGGGTGTGACAAACGCTCCTTACCTTGAATGTTTGTCACAAACACCTGGAGGAGCATGCTAGCTAGCCTCCTGCCCAAGGACTATGGGCCACATACAAAGACCCTGTTCGGGAGTTAAATCTCCCCAGCCTCCATTAGCAACTTTCCCTGGGTGCCCCTGCTTCGGCACTTTCCCTTCATTCGAATGGAACCGAACACTGGCTCCCTGGCGGCCGTTTGCATGAAGAAACCCACAAATTGTTCTCAGCGGTACTTATCCGCAATTGTTATGGAACTAAATTCGACATGAGGAATTCCTGGGTTCCCGGTCACCTCTGCAGGACTTCGCCACGAATGTTATTGAGCTGTTTACGGCATGAGGTGACCTTGCGGCTCCCGGACAACTTGGTCCGGGGTTTTGAACAACTTTGAAATCCGCCAGGAGAGCGCTTTTTGAAGGGAAGGTGCCTGAGACTACGGGGAACAAATGCTATGTAAGAGCCAGGCGGGCCACCCCGTATTGCCGCCACAGGAGCTCCCGAAAGTTGGCCGTCAAAAGCACCAAATGCCCTGGAACTGTTTTGGGCATAGGACCATGTGTGTGACCAGTCAGAACTTTTAACACGTTGGTGTTTCCCCTACATTGCATGGATCTGAGCGCTATTTGGACATCTTGGACGCTCAGATCCAAGTTATCCAGGGATATAACATTTGTGGGGAGTTCCTATATGATTGTTATGTATTTTTATGTGTTTTCTAATATAATGTAATTTATGCTTAGTCATGTGGACACTGTAAATTGTAGCCATTTTCTGGGAGTGTTCTGGGCGTGTTCTCCAGCCTCCTAATTTTGTATAAAAGTGGGCTAGTTGGCCAGATTAAACAGATTTGTTTTACCCTTCATAAAGTCTAGGCTGACGTTTGGGGAATTGGGAGCTATAATCACTGCTTCACTGGGGATTTGGGAGGACTACAGCGGATATACTCAGACGAAGTATAGGGGATCCTTTACAGAGGGGGTTATGATTCGTGGGCCATAGAAGGATGACGCCATGTTGCACTTGTAACTCCGACCTCATACAATGGATGTTTGTTTTTGCTTTACATACAACTTTCCCTTTTTTAATTTGAATAAAAAGAAAATGATAAATAAAGATTGTAAAAAAAAATTAAATGAGCCCCTGTGTGCCTCCAGCGATTTATAACTCTCATTATCCTTAGCCAATGATGAGAGTGGTAGTTCGTTGGCTGAGGAGCTCATACAGTAATTGTTTGAAATGAAGTAACACTATCTATATGATGATAGCTGACTTATGCAAATATTTTCACAAACATGATTATGTTAATTACTTAATTCCAACAGTGTGTGTGTGAATACTTTCAAATGTTATAGAACAAGGTATACCTGTCTCGCTCAGTTATTTACTTTTGCTTTCTGGGGTTAATGCTTATTCTTGGTACAAGGTGTTAAATGAAATTTGAAAATGTTTACATATTAACAAATTGTGGATATGTTTGGGCTCCAGAGCCTGGGATTCATATAAAAGGGAGGTAGTCTTGTGCATTAGACCAATTGAAATTCTTCTGAACTTAGGCCAATCGGTGGTTTGTCTGAATTCCATATCTCCGAAGCACCATACAGACGTTTAACCCAGCAAGTGGCTAGTGCAAGGGACAAGTATGTTCATTTGCTTTCGGGTTCCACCCATGGAGACAAAAAAAGAGATTACTGATGGAAAAAAGATGATTGATGGCTAGAGGACAGACACTAAATGTTGATTTTATTCTCAAATCAAGTGAGGCGTGATAAATAAAGGGACGTCCTCACGGACCTGCAGCGTCAGATTTGCCCCATAGGAAAGCATTAAATAATGCTTTCCTATGGGGAGGTCTAATGTGAGCGCGGCCATTGCTGCACATGCACTTTAGGTCTACCTTGCCGGCTGACGGCTGGGGTGGAGCGTGGGCAGAGCCTGACCCAGCACGAGGAACATCGGCGCTGGATTCAGGTACGTGGCTGAAGAGGTTTTAGCCCCTTCAGCCCCGCGGGAAGGGGTCGTGAGGGAGGGGGCCACTCTAATGACCTATAGTGCCAGGAAAATAGGTTGGTTTCCCTGGCACTATAGAATCCCTTTAAAGGAGAACTGTAGCCTCAAAACTATTTTTTTATATAATCATACTTTCATCAAGTTTTGAGAGTTAATAGATTATTTGTTAAATGAAGTATATGTAAAATAATGAGAATACCTCATCCCTACCGTTACTTTATGACAGATCCTTCAGACAGTGTTTTACAACTGACAGTCTTTCCTGCTTCACCCCTGCACATTGCAGTGACATCATCAGATCAATTGTCAAATTTAAACAGATTTTAAAATTTTTTCCAACATATACACTATTATAACCATTGGAAATGATATACTTTCATTGGAAACTAATTTTGTTTGCAATGGCCGTGCTGATAGCAGAGACTGCGCTACCATTCAGGTGCTGGCTCTGCTGAGCTCTTCTGCAGCTTCCTTACAGCAGTACAAGCCGGTAGAGAGATCTACAGATAGTCGTGCGCTGCTCACTCTGCAGGCTGCCCCTCTGGTTCCGAACAGCTCTCTGCAAGTGATACCTCCTGGTCAGAGATCAGAAGGGGGCATTCCAAGTGGTCTACTGTCAGCCAGAGGGGCAGATTCCACAGGCAGCCCACCGGACTGCCAGGGAAACCCCATGATCGTCAGGAAAAGAAGATGAGAGCCTCCCCCCCCACTGCAAAAATGTATGCGGTGGGGGATCAGCTTAAAATATATAATAGTAAAAAAAAACAAGCAGCACTGTGTGTGGTGGCTGCACTTGGAAATACAGCTTCTAGACCAGGCTTCCCCAAACTCCGGCCCTCCAGATATTGCTGAACTACAACTCCTATGAGTCTATGAACTAAAAAGATAGGCTGAGAATCATAGGAGTTGTAGTTGAGCAACATCTGGAGGGCCGGAGTTTGGGGAAGCCTGATCTATAGACTACCTCTGGATTAATTACTGAATCAGCTCCTAATGTCAAAAACAATTACAGATGGCATCACTGACCAACCATGGAGCTTAAGGGTTCCAATCCCGCTCTAATGTCTGACTGTTATAGAAATCCTGTAAAATGTTAATTCGAAATTCATTCCTTTTGTTTGTTTGTAACATCCAGCATACATGATTATATACAGAAACACAACACAATCACACAGTAATGATGGTACAATGCAGCGTTATATTACAAAGCAGACTGTCAGAGTAGGTACTAATGCAATTCTAACAAAAAATATAACTCCTGTACAATCGATCTGCATGTACACAGTATGAATTTATATAGACTAGTACAAAACATAAAAAAGAGTTGGCACATTATACTGTGCTTTGCTGATAACATGGTAATAGTGAATACGGTTATTTTAATGGAACGTTAATACAGCCAAGCTCGCTATATAATTAGCTGTATGAATTCTCATGATTCGATGTGTTAAAGAGTTACTTTGGCTGCCTGAGAATTATGAGTGTTGTTGCAAGCTTAACTGCTCCTGCGTTATAGCCTGACTTCTCCTGCAGAAGTAGGGGAGGCAAGGAGCAAGCTGTAGTGGTTATGGTGCTTGGAGTGTTACTTTAATAATGAAATCCTTACATTGTCAACATGAAAATTATCCAATTAAAAGGCAGTTATTGATTAGTATGTTATAGTGTGTATACCTACAGACCTTTTTAAAATGTGTGTTGATAATGTACATGTAAAAATATGATCAAGTGAAATGTATAAAAATATACATTTGTGCTTTGGGAGGCTCAAAATCATCTTCCACCTAATAAAATATATGGCTCATTCTAACCTTGCAGTCACAATTATACTCTATACAGAGAAATGAATGGCGTACAGCATTGGGTCCTGAGAAAATAACAATTTAACATTTTACATTCTTTACAGAATCAGTTTTTTTTTTTCTGTTTAGTTTGGGATTGTTTGATACTACATCTATCTATATATCTACAGATTGTGTCTTTTCAAGTAGTAAAGTGACCAAACGTGACATTTTGTAACATTTTCCATAATTATCTGAGCACTTCCCATTAAATATTGTAATTTAAGGGGTACAACAATGGGGTGTCACCGTGTTCTGCCCAAGACATTACGCTCTTGCCAGATTGATTTTTGACAGAATATTCCCTGCATTAGTGTCTAAGTGAATTCTTCTCGCTGTGATATCAAGGAACCATACCCACTTGGTCAGCTTGCACATACTCAGTAGAGATACCATGGACACACATGCAGACTATAGTGTACTAAAATGTTTCAAAATTCACATGGATGTAGCTATTACCAATATGAAGTCCTGAAGGTAACCTTCCTCAGCAAAGGATCCATAACCAGACCAGCACTACTCACCTCCATTCAGTGGTGCATTATGGAGCCTCTGTGTTGACTCTTGGGCAATTCTGAGAGTCAATACAGGTGTAAGGAAGTCATCACAGGGCCTCCACAGGCATGCATGAACCCTGTAGTTTGTGCATGCCCATTAAGAAGAATGTTGACTATGATGGCAGACCCAGTGGGACCAGCACAACAGAAAATAAGGTAATGTGCTCTGAACCTGTGGGCCACAAGGAGTTGTGAGGATGGGAGGGGCTGTCCAGAAGGTGTCATCCATAGGCTGGGAAACAGTGGTGAAATTTGTTGACAGAGCCACTATAAAGAAGTTTGGACCTACTAGGCTTCCTTAAAAACCTCAGATGTTGCTTCAATGATGCTTTAATGAAACCTTGTACATGGTTAAGAGGTGTGTATAAGCTATACCCCAAATCTACAGGGCAAGACTTATTTCCATATTGGGGGAGTGAACACAAGTTTTGGAACCAATGCGATTCAAACAAACTATCTCACAGGAAAAGAAGAACAAGTTTTTTACAACTTGACATTTTTAAAAAATACACTCCAGTTACGGTGTGTCACTGCCAAAATGATATATATATATATATATTAAATAGCAAGGGTCTTGGTTCAACAAGAGCTGGAGGCCAACCCTGCTTTAAATGGCTAACCTTTAGCACTCAGGACTGCGTTTCCCAGAATACACTGACAGATCTTTTTTCTAGCTGAGCGTCATGGGAAATAATTTGTGACCGATGGAGTGTCTTAACATATAGTAACATTATAATATTAGAGTATTCTGTGTGGCCAAAGGGGTCTGGGTGTACTTCAGTGTTAATGTATAATCAAAAGTAACATCACATTCATCCATCAGGTACACACAACAAAGACCCACACTGATATATGGAGCTTGTATTATGAACTTGTAAAGGTCTGGTCTCCTACTACTAGAGTAACTGCGCAGAACACGGTGACTGCCCCTTGGCACACTAACTCGGCATCATGGGATACGGAGTCCGCAATAGCTGGCGTGCCAATTGTTATGAATTGCTTTTCGCCATAATGTCACGGCACAATCTCACCTTAAATTGGAAGCAGTTATAATAACACGGTTAATCACTAATGTGAAAATGTGAAGTGGATTTAAAATTTAGGTTCAAAATAGCAGAAGTCAGGAAAATCCTCTAAGCCAGCTATGCTTTCATTTCAGCTACTCTGGCCTTACGTTAGAATTTGCCCTGTGAATTCTCACCTTAGTAAATTAGCCTGTGAGTATCTACAATAGGGTTACATACAACGATTGCTCCCATGAGAGATGTATTATAGGCTCCTACTTCAAGGGTAAATCTCACCCATTCTGTAAATAAAGTGCTGATCGTTAGTGAATTGAAAATGAAAATGTCTAAGTAAATAGCCAAGCTGTGTCGATACTTAAGTAAGATAATGTTTCCAAATCAGCACTTTTTTTTGTCTGAAATTTGTAATTCAGTTTTCGATTCACTATCCCGCTGTGTTACTAAAGAGATGCAGTTATTCACGAACCTGTGAATAGCTAGGAATTCATTGGGGAATTGTAAATTTAGGTTCCAAATAGCAACTTTCAACAATTCAGAGTTTAATAAACATTTTTACACTTTATGGTGAGTATGTCTCTCTATAAAGAATAATAATCTCTTCCTTACAGTGAACTGGACAAACGTATCACAAGCATAGCTGAAAAGTCTTACCATTACATATTCCTCATTGTTTTTGGTGATTTCCACCACGCAATTGGTAGAAGAAAACACACAGTCAACAACTGCATCCCCTGAGCCAGTCTGATTTGAGCCTGTAATGACTATCCAGGCATAGGCAACCTTCAGCACTCCAGATGTTTTGGACTACACCTCCCATGATGCTTTGCCAACATTATGGGTGTAAGAGCATTATGGGGGATGTAGTCCACAACATCTGGGGTGCCGAAGGTTGCCTATCCCTGGTGTATTTCATAAACAAGCTCTCCTAACTCTGAAATATGTTTAGAAAGAGACTATATTGGCGTGGACTGTGTGTCCAATGGATTTTTAAATTGCCATGCTCCAGGATTTTTTTTATTTACTTGGCTGAATTTGCCACCTTGCTTTACCTTGGAGTTTTAAAGTTGATCTGTTCCCATTCTAAATGCTAACTTTAAGGAGGTAGCCATCAATTTATTTCACAGATTTTGTAAGCACAGCATACTTCTAAATATTGGGAGGTTTAAGATTGGGACTGCTGGGCAGGACATGAGGAAGTGTTGCCCGTGATGCAACTCATGTCAATGGCGACAGCTCTAATCGGCAGCTCACCAGGTGGAACCACCCTCTGAAGGGACCTTTCTGGCCGGCCCCTAACCTACAGGAACTTGTAGAGAGCGCTTCCGAAGCGCATACCGGCAAGTCTAATGATGTGCTTGTGATGTGCTGCCTAACACCGGTTCAATGGTGTCCTTAGATGCATTACAACTGAGAACAAAATAGTGACCCAAGTTGGCACAGGGTAGGCTGGTGGACTACTGTTTTCATAACTAACTTCTAGCATATGGCTAATAAAAAGAATTGGGGGCGTTGAAGCCAAGAGTTCAGTGGAGTAAATTAATGGGGAAGGACTAGTCTTGCAAATCAAGTCTTGATGGACACTTGCAGTTGGTAAACATTTAAATGGTGATAGAGCTCCTCTAAGTTCCACATTCTTTTGAGATTAGAGTTCTGTACATTATCCTGAAAATCCAGAATGAATGAATGCTTTCCTGAAGGATTATAGCATGACCCCTCTCCATTCTACGTGTAATATTTTGCACACCCACATTTATGTATATAAAATAATATCTTTGTTTTTAATACCATTAATAACACAAGGTGATCATTAGTAGTTTTTTTGTTTGTTTTTTTTATATTTTTTGCAGATATAAAAATGTCTCCTCTGTACACACAGCAACGACGAGTAAAATTGAGAAAAGTGCTATACACTAAAGTGATTGATGGCCAGTGACTTTCTCTTGTGAAAGAACAAAGTTTTAACTCACATAGTGAAAAGGGAGTGTGTGCAAAGCATTGTGTGTCAGTTCTCTGTTGCACAAATACCTTACAGATTTATATGTAGCCTCAAATAAAAAGAATCCACGCAAATAGAACCATTTCAGAAAAGTCATTCTTGGTGTGAAAGTATTGTTAAAAAATATATATAAAAAAAGGACTTTAATAAGTTCCTTGATACTTAATGTGGCCGATGAGGGTAAAAAGTGATTATTTGTCTCTGAGACTTATTTTGTCTTGTTTTTGTATGACTGTTAGTACATAATTCACAGTGCAGGTAGGTCGAGAGGTTGTGGGGTTTTTCCCTTCATTTCCATCAGTCGGACGAGCACCTGAGACTTTTACATTTCAGTTCATCTAGTGATTTCCAGTACTTGTAATTTTCTGTCAGGTGCTGTATGAGGTTGGGTAAATGTGCAAAAGCTGGAAAGATAAAAGAGGATTTGATTTAGATCATCAATAATCAAGAGCTGAGATATCCAGAAATACAGGGCTATGAGTCTGTGATTGGACATCCAAAAAAAGTCTGGGCGGGGTTAGAAGGGGAGGTCTTGCAAAGGATGCAGACAAGAGATCTGCGGGGTTTATGCTGTTTTGTGTACACTCCAATGGAAAATACTTACTGATAGCTACTAAATACTGATTTTAAAATAATATTTTTTTTTGTATTTGGGCAGTGAAGTTTGTCTTTAAATGTAAAATTAGAATTGAATCTGTTGGTCTATTCATTTGCTGGAGATTTCTATCACCGTACTAGCATAAGGAATAGGTTAAAGTACATTATATCTGCAGATAATCTTTATAGCTACACCTTCAAGAATATGATAATCAGTTACTATATATTCTGGAACTGAAATCCTGCAACACAGAACTGGATTGTGATGACAATTGCTAGTTCTTTAACATACAATTAAAGAAAACTCATTGCTTGAAAAAAGGTTAGCATAAGTTAAAGGTGAATTGCATGGTTTTATTTGTTAGACTAATTTCCATAAAAGAGTGTTCTTTCTAATTTAATAACTTTAAAAATGTTTTAATAATTAATGTACAGTGGTACCTCGGAACTCGAACTGTCCCTTACCCGAACAATTTGGTAGTCGAACAAAAAGTTGAGAAAAAAATGTCTCTGTACTCGAACAAATCTTGTTACAAACATGTTCCATTATGTCTCACTTTAGAAACATTTAAAATGCCAGAAGAACATTTACCTACCCCCATCCTAACAATAATATCTCTTCTCCTTTCCACTTACACCATCAACTCATCATTAGAGGTAAAGTGAAGTTACATTTTCTTTTCATCTACTGTCCATTGTGTTTATTTTTTCTATATGATTTTATGCATGTAAGGAATTATTAAGCTGTAAAATTTGTGTTAAAATACTGCAATTTTGGGGGTCTGGAACGGATTAGTCCAATTTACACTAATTCTTATGGGAAATGTTGATTCGGAACTCAAACAGCTTTTTGGAACGGATTAAGTTGGCGTTCCGAGGATCCACTGTAATTAATCTACATTGTTAGAGGCTTCAGAGCTGTTTGATCTGTCTGTGTACATGTTATGAGACAATTATATTGCCTGATCACTATGTCATATCTGTATGGGAATAAATACTATTACAAAATATTAAAAAAAAAAAAAAAAAAGGTCTTCATTTAATATTGTTGGATTACCTTTTCAAATAATTTGATATATTTTTGGCTAAAATTTTAAAATATATATTTTTTAAATATTAAATAATTTTAAACATTTATCAAAAAACAATATGAAATCATTTGAAAAGCTTATCCAGCAATATTAAATTGAGGCTTTAAATTTAAGGATATTGAATAACCTACCATCCCACGCATCGAACATATCCGTAATGAAATAGTCTATGAATGATATCTGAGATTTCGGTATGCTACAGGTGTGTCTGTCAAACACCGGCATCACAACCGGTAATCCTTGTTTCTTCTCTTCATCTGTCTGCAAAATAAAAACATAAATTAGTATCTCTTCAAACAAATATTGACCTTAACTCCATAACTACAGAGCACTTTTAGATTAAAATATTAGCATAAAGTTTATTTGAAGCAAGTGAAGACTAGCTAGCGCATAAGAAATAGCACAGCAATTTTGTGCATTGATTGCTTTGCAGGCAAACTTAAAATTAAAAATAAAAATAAGTAAATTGACACAATTTTTATTTGTCACTTATTTCTTCATCCTTTATAAAAAAAACTATTTGGGAAATGAAACTCTTTAGACAGTACACAGTGTATTTTATTTTATGTCACGGTCTGAAATGTTCGTATTAAAGCAAAAATTAATGTTTTCTCACATACAGTAGGTGTGACAAAAATATATAAATGAATGAGGTCAAACTAAAACTTTGCTTATATGTATTTGTAAGGACCTCAAAGGCATTACTAGTAGTCCGGTTGTGCCAGTGCAGTCAGTTCTGCTTGACCTCAAAACGAAGTGTCGTCTCGTTATTGGGGAAATTGGATTGTATGCTGATTGCCAAGAGTGTAAGCTTTTCCTGTTCAGCTGCTTACAGCATTCATATGCTTGAGAGCATTCGTATGCTTCTCCGGTTCGGTGGTTGTGGTGTCTGCTGCACTGCTTGGAGTCCTCAGGAAGCGCTAGGAGCATCCTTCAATGGAGGTACCCAGTCGGGGTGCCAGGTGATCCGTTACACCCGGTGCCCTTACATGGTCTGTCTGTCAGTCCCTTAGGGAAAGTGCCAAGTAGCTAAATTCATTTTCTGAATATAATTTGTCTCAACTGTAATTCTAATTGGCTTGTACGGATTCTCAGATTCTTACTGATTATCTCATAGTGATCTCTGGACTGTGTACTACTATCCAGGTAACTTCTAACCTTGAATACTATGTGTCCAATCAACCCAACTGGGGTTATAGGACATTCAGAAGAGTTATATGGATCATTAGCAAGTCCATGGCCATTTAAACCCATGGGCTCTACCTGAGCGGTTACAAGCATGAGAAATATAACGTCACGAGACACATTGTGATGATTTTCACTTGTCAGCCATTACTTTTATTTTCGCAGGGATATGTTTATGATTGATAAATTGTCTTATTTTTAAGTCATAAAAATGGAAACTGAGAAAATATCAGGGAAACATATGACATGTTACAACAACACAGCATTAGGCTAAACATTATAAAGACTTTCATTGGAATTACGTAAAACATCATATACCTGCGCGAAATACTCCTCAGAAATCCTTCCAGCCCATTCAATGCACAAATCCAGGGGGCGGCAGGGATTAGCTACATCTGCACATTTAATCATCATGCGTTTGATAAGGATACGGTTTTCGGGAGAATTCCTTGGCGTGCTCGAACATTCACAGTCACTGCCCTCACTCTGCGACAAATTCATTAACATAAACAGTATAAACATGTGTGTAGGTTCTGTGCCAAAACAGATATTAATGAGAGTTACAAAGTATCAGCTTTCTTATTAACAGAATAAATAGTAATATGAAAAGTCAAAGCCATTAAGAATGCATATAATTTTAGTATCACATGACGAGCTGTGTACCGAACCCCTGCTTATACCTACCTGACTCTGCTGACATCTCCAACCCCTGATTCCAACCGGACTACTGACTACTCTACAGCCTTTCAACTTAAGCTAAGTTGTTAAAGTAACTGCTTCTATATGAGTTAAATGACTTTAACTCTCCTATTATTTCTGCGAGATTATCTCTATACCAGACTTCTGCCAAACTAATTCTGCTTATTACTACTCTTTGCATATCCTGCTTGAAGGAAGGAAATTTCAACTATCTCTAATTTAATTCATATATCCATTCCTAATTCCTGGCTATTTAAACAATTAAGCACACGTTAATTTCTTCTTAAAGAGACGTTACTTAATTTTTCTGCAATTGTGTTCCACAAAATCTGTTTCTAACTTTGGAACTGACATTTCTCTGTTTTTGCTAGTGGGACAGAGGGTGTGAGAAACTATCTTTGGCCTAAATTCAGATTTGTTTAAAACAAACCCATCAGTCATGTGGTTTGGTGTCATTATTAGATTAGTCAACATAAAAATATTAAAACATATTTTCAGAAAATAAAAAGATTTGTAGAATGTCAGGAGACATCTTATATTTTGTCCAACATGGAAACCATATGTTAGACAGCTTAGTGGCTCTGGGTACATGACTGCACTCTATTAGCTCAGTGCAAAGCTCACAGGGCTATTCAATTAGGTGAGAATTAAAAGTGATTTTTAAATTTAAGGTCAAAATAAATGAAGTGGAAAAATTCTTTAAGTCATCCATGCTTTCCGCTTGGTTACTCTGGCCTTTAATTTGAGATTCTCTGAGTTCACTTTGAATTTTCACTTTAGAAAATAACCCTGCCAGTCATTCTGGTTACATTACTTCCAAGTTCCCAGAACTCCTTCTTCTGTGCTCCTTACAATGTCCACAGGGTAAGCTAAAACAGATCTTAGGGCAGCAAATGTATTTCTTCCACCAGTTAATGGCTCGGTAACCAAGCCACGTGGTGTCTTACGTTGGAGTTGCTGTCTTCTCCTGCTACAGGTTTGTTGATGCTGTTCACAAATTTGTTTACATGCTCAAAGTGCTTGGTCATTTCTGTAGCTAGAACCATGTCAATGATAGCCTGCCGCAGAGTTCGATACTGAGTCCTGTGAACGAAGCAAGAAATGTTCATTCAGCCAACACGATGAAATGACAAACTCAATAAAAACATGCACATACAACTGTCAATTGTACCAAGTCA